GGGGAAGAGAGACAAGGTTTCTTGACTTATAATAGACTGGAAACACCTTTCAGATAATTTCATCTAAGCATGAAAATATCTCAGCGGACCTGTTGAAGAATAGACTTTCTTCAATATGTATTTCAACAAGACCTCAGCATATGCAGCCTCTTACAGTGAGACGCCTCAGTCTATGCATTTTTCATTCACACGTTTTCCACAAAGCTTTCTAGCTCTCACACTCCAATTTTCCAGGGAAGACGTAGGTCTCTGCTCTCTCAGATCTTTCTCCCCACCTTTATTTTTTTCTCTCAGTTTATTCATTTTTTTATAATGAAGGAAAGGAAAGGGTACTGATTTGATCCTACTCTGAAGGAAGTACACAGAGAAATTTTTAAAGCTCTTACCAAATTTGACTTCTTTCTCTAAGCATTTTGATTCTCAAGAGTTTGGGCAGACTGTCTTAGAATTAGCAAATATTTCTCCCTTTCACAAACTACCTGGAAATACGACATAAAGGTGCTTCAAAACGTGCAGCTTAAAAGCGTCAGGATTGATGTGTGAGAGATGAGTAGATTTCCTTACGTCAGTAAACACAATATATTAAAAATGAGAATTGCCCAGATTATATTGCCCAACATATCTTTGTGAGGTGAAAGAACTGTAAAGAGGGAATTTCTTTAACAATTGATCGATCATTTGGAGTTCAGAGCACTATAGTATTGTCTCCCTTTCCATTTCAGGACTGACCAGATGGGGAAAAAATTATATAGTTAAAAAGAAGAGGCAAAAAAGATCACCAATACCCACAGATTCTTTTAAGGAATTTTAGTAATATGAAAATGTAGCCCTTTATTGCTGCCTTCAGAATAATTTAAAAAATTTATAGTGCTTCATTCCTTAATGGAAGTGGATAAAGATACACAGAGCAACTTTTGAACTACATTTGATCAACTAAATTGCAAATTCCAATCCAATCTGCAGAAAACCACATATTATTAAGAAAATAGTAGAAACTGACTTACAGAAATATGTTAGATCTTTGTTGCCAAGATCTTTTACCCCACAGATAGTGTTTTATATCGTGGAAAGAAGCTTTATTCAGACAGATTTCAAAAATAGATGTATAAACAACATCAAGATTTTTCAGCATGCCTAGTTTGTTCTTCCCTAATATATAAGGAATTCCTCAGATGGAAGTTTACAGTAGCACAGGCTGTTCTCTTATGATATAACTTGCCATTTCAAATCAATCTTGGCAAGCCTGATTCTAGCTGAATACAGATTTTACAACAGTCTTAATAGCAAGAACATTTTAATTACTGCTTTTTGCATCTATAAATACACACGTCTAATATATGAAACTTAATGTGGAAAGTTTACATAGGTAAAAACTCCATCATATTCAGCTGAAAATACATTCCTTGGAGATGTCTAGAAAAATGTCAAATTTAATTACTGAAAATATAATGCTTGATGTTTTATTACTCACCATGTGTGAGCTCTGGGTAATTTATCAGGGCTTCCCCATTGCTCTATTGTAAACAGCTGAGGACCATTTGAACCTGGTTCAAGAGAAGCACATAAATGGATCAGATGGTCATAAGATTTGATTTATGAACTCTGCAGCTTGTAACATTGTCTACCTCTTTGACTTCAACTCTGCTTTTCAACTAGTTAGCAGGAGTTTTAGCAGTCCCAGTATGTCTAGAGGGGAGAGGTTGGGGAAGGTTGTTCTAACTCAATGAGATCCCTAAAGAAGAGTGGCTGTGGTTGGAAATGTATCTAACACTCAAATATGTCTAAGAATGTGTTTGCTAGGAGTGATTAAAATATTTTCCCTATTAATGAGTTGAACCATGAAGAGGAAGCCAAAGAATTAACCAGCTCAAGAGGATCAGGGTGCTTGGAACAAGATCATGTATATGCCCAAGAATGAATTGAACCCAAGACCTGTCAGTCAGTAGCATTTAAAGTAGAAGAAAACACCACATGGCCCAGATTCTTCTGAAAGACTTGCCCTCTCTAGACCACAATCAAGACATACTGTGTATTATGGGTTGAGAATGAATGAATGAATGAATGAATGAATGAATGAATGAATGAATGAGTATCCACCCACCCACCCATCTCTGTAGACATTCAGCGCATTTAAAGCAAAATTCTTTGTATGCTGAATGCCTACATTCCAATCTTTGGCAATTTCCATTAAAAAAAGGATTTGGGTAGCAAAGCTGGAAAGTTCACTATCTGGAATCTTGGCAAGACCTTGTTAGAAGGAACTACTCTTACTAGAAACAGTAATAATAATCTGATACTGTAATGCTGCTTTGTAACTTTCACGGAGTTCTTTTCCTTATTTCCGCAATTAAGGTTTTTCCAACCTTAGCACCGGGGTGGCCCCAAGGAAAATATGTTACCAAACATATGCAGTGGTGCAAGCAGTAATGGGCACTGCACGACCTGCATTGGTTGCCAGTCTGCTTCCGGGGGCAATTCAAGGTGCTGTTTGCCACCATAAAGCCCTTCATGGCATAGGGTCTGGGTATCTGAGGGACCACCTATCTCCAATGGTTTCTCCCTGCCCAGTATGTTTGGGCAAAGTGGGTGTGCTCCAGGTCCCTTCAATTAAATGCTGCCACCATGTGGGATTGAGGAAGAGTGCCTTCTCTGTCAATAGCCCTTGCCCTCTGGAAGAGCGTCCCCCCCAGACACTGACAGCACCCCCTCTCCTGGGGTTCCAGAAAACCTTTAAGGCCTGGCTACGTTCCCAGGCTGGGTTCATGTGGTTCCTATCTGTTGGTGGCCCCCAGTCATATTTTTGTACTGTTCTGTAATTCTAGTTCTAATTCAGGCTGCCTGTTTATGTCGGTGTTACCTTTTTAAACCATTTTACTGGGGTTATTTTGTGGATTTTGTAAGCTGTCCAGAGTCTTCTGGAGTGGGTGGCCATATCAAATTGAATAAATTAGATTAAATTAAGTAAGGGAAAAAGAACACAGTATTGGGGTTGTGTGTGGCTTTGGCTTTGGAGTGTGAGAGGAAACACATGAAGCATCCACCTGCAACTTCAACCCAAAGCATCTTTCCCCAATATTGGACTGCTGCTGCACTGCAATCCTAGGAAAAAGATGCAGCTCCTTTAATGAACTGTGGATGGGTGTTACATTCCCACTTACATGCCCTGAAGCATCTTTTTCCCCTTTGAATCCAAAGCACTACACTTGATTGATTTGATTTTGTTCCTGCCTTAGTGACTTAGGCTGTGTGTGTGTGTGGTTTGTGTGTGTATGTGGTGGTTTCTCTTATATTTGAAGCTCCTACTAGAACAGCAGGTGGAGGCTGTGGCTGGGGGCGGGGGGCTTCACCCAGTGTTGACTGGCATGCCAGCTTCAGCCACTACATGGGCAGAAGAACCTTCCTACAGTGACTCATGCCCTTGTCACCACCATTTAGACTACTACAACCTGCTGTACCTGGGGCTGCCTTCAAAAACCACTCCGAAGCTGCAGCTGATTCAAAGTGCAGCAGCCTGGGTACTAACTGGCATTCACCCGTGGCAGCACAATCCACCAGGGCTTCAGCCCTATCCTGTTACCAATACGCTTCTGGGTGCAATTGAAAGTGCTAACCTAGAAAGCCCTATATAGCTTGGCATCGAACCAGCCTGGCTGATTCAATCTACCCAAGGAAAGCTGCTAATGGCTCCTCAATTTAGGGGGGGGGTGATGGGGGGGTTCAAGGTTTGGTGATGCTGCTTTTCAGTTGTGGGCTTGGTCCTTTGGAACAGCCCCCCCAGTGAACATCTGATTCCCATGTGGATAGCCTTCTGGAAGCAGTTCAAAACAGATCTTCTTCTGGAGGTGTTTGAGCTGTGGTGCCATCTTAGTTGGGTTATAGATTGGCTTTGTAATTTAATTTGTATTCTTTTTATAAATTGCTTTGTGGATCTTTTAATTGTGTACTTTTATCGCATATTTTGTCCTGTAAACCACTGAGGATTACAACAGTCTATAAATGCGATTAGTAAAGAAATATTTTCATACAATTGTATTTAGGATGGAAAGAATATGCCAGCGTTGCTTAAAAGAGTGCAATTTTCAAGTCATCCCACTCAAATAATTAGAGATCATTAAAGTCACTTTCACAGTAACTCACCATAAAGTTCAGCAAATCCATTCATAGGCACTCGTGACGTCCCAGTTACAAACTGCAAAAGCCGGATACGTTTCTCAGCATCCATCAGTAAAACAGCCTATAAAATATATTGTTAGGAAGCTGATGAGTAAATTACCAATGAATCTCACACCCACAAGATTTCTGCTTTTTATCAGGGCTTTGTAACTGATAAGGCCATTTGAGAAAAGGCTGAGGTATTTTCAAAAAAGGAATGTTGTTAAAGCAAAGTGATCAAATGTTGGAGTTCGAGCACAACGTCAGAATGAATCAGTGTTACCTTCCAAAACCACTGAATAACAGGATGGTTTGGACAATATCCATTCTTGTAGATTGCGTGTTGTCTCCAGTCATTCACATCAACATCGCCAAGACCACACATTAGCAACTGCGAACAAATGAGTTTTGAGAAAGGAAATCAGGTCATGCGCTAAGAGAATTTTTTTTTCTATAAAATCATAGAGTTGTGATCAGGTAACTATATACAGGTAGGGGTGTGTGTCTGTGTATTAGTGCTTCAGTTCTTGTAGACTTTGCACCAGTCGATACTCCAGAATCATCCTCTTTCTGTACGGTACGGTGCATAACCAGAACTGTTTCACTTCCACAAAACATGAATTATCTTAATGAAAAAAATCATTTCAGAACAAATGTCGAAACACATCAGCCTGTTAAAGGACAAGCTAAAATATATTAGCAACAAACTATCCTCTTCATGTTCACTGAGTATTAAGGGTTACTGTATTAAAGTACTAGTATTGTACTTTATATTACTGTATTAAAGTACTAGCACTTTAATATTACAGACTAAGGCAGTCTGCATGGATTCTATAACTTTTTGAATGGGAAAAGGGCAAAACATTTTTATTTAGTTATAGCGTTCATCTCTTATCTTTTTTTAACACTACTTCAAGTAAAATACAGTTTGAAAACCTGTATTTCAAACACATTCGAAGTTTGTTTCCTTCATTCCTGTTTCCCTCATTTCCCCATCTGCATACTCTGCTTCATTTGATCCATAAACTGAAATCTGTCATTGCTGTTGTGAGCCCAACCTTTAGCAACTTAGCTAGGAGTTAGCACCACTGTACTTAGTGAGACAATTTTCTGGGTAAAATCTTACGTCTGTCTGTGCAGAAGTCAATTCTGTTGCGCATACAACTCCAGCTAAGACGGTTCAGGAACACAAATGTAAATTAAAAAGGCATTGATGCTGTGGAGCCACATTAAATTTTTGAATGAATGAATGAATGTTCATACACGCACGTATGCTGCAACCCTAGAAACTGAATGGGCCTTTCTAATGATCAATAATATAATGTAATATACTTGTAATAATCAAGTACAGGATTGGGCTACGGGTCTTTTTTTTTTTTTTTGAGATTGCTTAAATGTTGAGCTGGCACTAGCAATTCTGAGAACAAGCTTGTGGCGTTATTAAAAAGCCCCATCTAAAGCAAGAGAACTGTAGGATCGTGATGTTCGTGATGTATGTGCGGAGACCTTGCAGAATTTAGGCCAACGGGATTTTTTTTTCTCCACCTTGAGAGATGCAAGGACTTTCCAGCTGCTTCCACCAAAGAAACCCCTACTTAAAGACAACATCAAAAAGCAACTAACCTCCAGTTCATTTTCATCAAAAATTTTAATTAAGTCAATGGGCAGGAGTTCTGTAAAACCCTGAAACCGGAATGGGGGAGAAGAGAGAAGAGAAATGGATTCAATACATTTTCAATATTTAAGTCTCACAGTTTAACAGTGCTGATGTATCTTAACATTTCAAAGTATAAGATCGGAGGAAAGCTACAACAAACAGCTTCTAATTCAGAGAACTTGGGGGACCTGGGAAAAGAAGTGAAACACTAGAGGTCTGAAAAAAGGTCTTCTGTAATCTTAGAAATCTAGGTAGTTTCCACAGGGAGTTGCTCATTCTTGCCAACAGTAACTCCATGTGACAGATGGTATGCCTTCAGTTCTGCACAGGGTTTTGGGGTCTGTTTGAATTAGAGTAAAAATGGTACATGCCGATCAAAGAGGGAAGAAAAAAGGACAGGCAACGTTCATCCATTTCTTTTGCTTCTCAAAATCAGAACATAAATTATCATGCAGAAATCAGAAGGATTTGGTGGTGAAGGAATACATGTAATTGTTAAACTGAAGTTCAGTGTTCTGAGTAATGAGCATGGCTGGGTCATACTGCAATGAACAATGTATTCTCTGTATCACAATTTTGTTTTTGAAGGCATGGCACTCATATCCTGTTCCCCCCTCCCTTAATTTTTCCATACAGAATTCACTGATTTGCAAGGATGTAGGAAGGAGAAATGGAAGATGGCTCTATTGAGCTGAGGGAGGACCCTGTACTGGTTTTTCGTATGTGTTCATATAAACTCCTAGATGAATATTTTGAAAGCCTGCCTGATCCATCCATCCATCCATCCATCCATCCATCCATCCATCCATCCATCCATCCATCCATCCATCCTCCCTCTCTCCCTCCATCTCCCCAAATCTGATTTTTCACCAGAGTGGACCAGGTGGCAAAGACAAAGAAGAAACTGTTAGTGAAATGTCTTACCTCAAGAAATGCATTCATCTGTTTTTGAACCCTGTTGACAAATCTCCACTGGATGACTAAGCTACAGGACACAAACCAAATGCAACATGAATTTCATTACGAGAAAACATGATTATTTAAATAGCTTAATTACCCTAACTTTTTCTGGCTTTCCATTTTGAGCTTTAATAATCTTTCATTTGACTGAAATAAAAAATAGATGAGGCAAATACAATCCTTCACGTTTCAAGATCCAATTTCACTACCTGCAAAGCACATGAATACATACAGCCTTTCGGTAATTCCTCAGATATTCTTTCAGAACTCAATGAGATGATTAAAGAATACTACTGATGAACATAAAGGAGTAATTCAAAGAGTTCCACTTTTTAGAAAGTGTTTTTATCAAAGTGTTCCACTTTTACAGCCTAGCATTTAAATAGATTTGCATATGTGCCTTAAAGCGCAAAATATAACCTTTCCAAGAAGAGATTTGCTGTGTAGAGATGGCTTGAAATTAATTTTGTGTTTTCTATGGATATTATAGTCAATGTATTGTATTTGTTTAACAAGAATTAAATGCTCTATTTAAAAACTGCTTACAATGGGGTACTTTAGGGCGATATGCCTACATTTTATAATTAGGGCAAGGGTATATATTACATTTAGATTGAAACCTTTTTCAGTGGAGATAATTTAATATAACTCTTTGAATACTTTAACATTTTCTTTGTGTTTAAAGGCCATGATAAAAACATAATTATATTTTTATGTGACAATTCATACCTGAAACTTCATAAAAAGCATTTGTAATTGATTTTATTTGAAGAGGCATGGCAACCAATGACCCATCAAGACAAATGCCAGGTCATGAAAATTTGCATTTTTTTTCATAAGTGTGATGGAAAGAATTTGACATTTTAAAAATTAGTATATAGGAGAAAGAAAAGGCATAGATTGTCCGTGCCTATCCTATTACAAATAGGTACCTGACTCAGAAGGAAGATTCTGCTTTGAAATGGTCATGGAAATATTAGGAGAAAGAGGAGAGCCAGCATCTGACTGGTGAGTTTTCCTTCAACTACTTCTCATCACACAAGCTTAACATCTTCATTTGACTGACAGGAGGCAAGTTCTCCCCTTCCCAGACAAGTAATGGGCAAAAGAGAGAACCCATCATTTCCAAATCCATCCTTGCTATATTTTATGGTCGCTACCACCAGCATTTATGATTTTTCTTTGAAGCTTCCACAACCCATTTCTAATTAGAAGGACAATGCAACTACTTGCAATTACCCATTATAGATGAATACAACAAAATTTATCATATTTTAAGATGTAAAACAAGCTTTCTTCCATAGCTTAGCTTAGAAATTGGACATTTAGTCTGGTTCAAGGTTAGGATTGGATCTCCCACTTGCTGGGCCAAATCAGCTACCAAGAGTAGGGCCAGAGCAAGTTCTCTGCTCTCAATAAAGTCACTACTATCAGATGTTATCTGTACCTCCATGCAAGAAGAGAGAGAGAGCCACTGCTCCCCATAATGTGTTTTTACCTATGCAAGGTAAAATGAAAAGCAGCAACAGCCCATGCAAGATGAATCAGGGAAGAACATTTCCTACCTTGCCCTGCACAGAGTGTTTTGGTTTGTTCACATTGAGCAAAAACCCTGATTTCTACCTCATGTTGAATGGCCACAAACAAAGGAAGGAGAAGGTGATTCCTGCATCACTTGACATGGAGCACAGCTGCTCTTGCAGCTGCTGTAAGTAAAATACTTGCAAGTGAGGCTGTGCCCAATCTTGCCACCTGGCACTTTCCCTCTTTGGCTGCTTGCACACCTGAATTGTGTGATACAAGCGAGGAGGGGGGAGCTTCAGAGATGAGTTTCAGGGAATGGGCTGGGCTTTGTTGAAGCCTTCTGGGTAGCTTGGTAGGTCAGATTAGGTCCACAGGGTCAAGGTTCCTCATTTTTGACCTATAAGATTTTTTTGGGGGGGGGTGCCTTCGAGCCATTGTTGACTTTGGCAACTGCCTGAACAAGTCCCTACAGGTTTTTTGGCAAGATTTTGGAAGTGGTTTGCCATTGCCTGCTTCCAAGGGCTGAGAGAGAAGGACAGGCCCAAGGTCACCCAGCTGGCTTTTTGCCTAAGGTGGGATTAGAATTCCCAGTCTCCTGGTTTCTAGCCTGGTGCCTTCACCACTAGACCAAACTGGCTCTCATAGAAGATCTTTACTGACATGGAATGTAAACATTTCAGAAAAGAGGAACCATTCTTCTTTAAAGTTTTAGCATGGTATGTTCCTTCAATACTAGGGTTCCTGTAACTCTAGACTTCTTCTCCACTAAGAACTCCTATAATTGCTTAAACATTGGGCAAACTGCTTCTGTTTTGTTTTAGAGATAGTCCTAAAGTTATGATAGCAATTGGGGCTGGAACTTCTGTCATTAAGCGATGTGGTCATGAAGCGTGACATCATGTGACTGCATCGCTTAGTGAGGGCAATCCTGGCAGTCCCCACTGCCATCATTAAGCAAGGATCATGGGTCATTAAGCGAGGACCTCATGTGACTGGGACTTTTGACTTCCTGCCGGCAACCAACAAACAAACGCAATGGGGAAGCTGGCAATAGGTTGCAAGTCCCAGTCACGACAAGCCTTTCCTTAGATGGCTTGCAAGCAGGCCGGCAGATGGGTGAGAGCTGCTGGCTTCCCATTGATCTTGCTTGTTGGAAGCCGGCAGAGAAGGTTGCAAATGGTGATCACATGATTGTGGGATGCTGCAACTGTCATAAGTGCAAGCTGACTGCCAAGTGCCCAAATCACGATCATGTGACCATGGGGGCGCTGCGGTGGCTGGAACTTCGAGGACCAAGTGTAAGTCCATTTTTCCAGCACCACCGTAACTTTGAATGATTGCTGAACAAATGGACGTAACTCAAGGACTACCTGTATTTTTAATTTATTTCTACAGCAAACCCTAACTAGTCCTTCTGCAAATAGGCATCTACCTATTAAGTTGAATGGGGGAGTCTCACTCATTTCAACAGGTGGAAATTACATTTCACATGGAAAGACAGGGAGGATAGATCATCCTGATTAGGGAAACCCTCTCACTGAAGGCTTGACTGGCACTAATGATTCCATTTCAATACAAGGTTACTTATTAAAGCATTTAAATCTTACTGAATGCAGCTTATTATGTTATGTTCTCTTTTAATATCAACAGGGCTTGCCATTTCACTGATTTAACATGCCTTGGCATTGATAATATAGAAAAGGTAAGAAATATTTTAATAAATAAACAGAAACAAATGATTATGGTGCTGTGGTGTCTAAGTCTACAATTGCTTCTAAAAGAGTTTTAATTTGATATGGTTTCTGCGGTAGTCTTCTTGAAGTCCATTTTCACCATCTAAGCCATCCAGATTGCTAAAACATTAAACTAAGTAAGTAAGTAAGTAAATATATTTAAAAATACGTACTCTATATATTCCCTTTTATTTTCATTTGTGACCATGATTTCCGACCCGTTTGGCTTCAAATCAACTTGATATGTCTGCCAAGATAAAAAGATAAAGAGACCTATTTTAGAATGTTAAAAACTGGTTACAGTTACATCAATCCATTACATTATGAAATGCATCAGTTCTCTGCTCTTCTAATACTTTTTGGACACATAATATGGGTCAAGCTATTTATAGGGGATTCCAATTTTAAATTTCCTTTTAGTTATTTAATTATTTTAGTCGTTATTGACAAAACGTTCTGTGCTTAGTTTCCAGGAAGGGTTGAATTGATGGAGTATAACTGCTAAATCAGAATCAAGCACCATGTTTCATTAGCAAGGTAAAGGGAAGACAGATTGGTAAGTCATCTGCTCTGTTATAAAAGAATTAACAGCGTTCAGTAGGGACATAGATGGCAGCTTCTGGAACACCAGTCAAATACTGTTTAGTATCTCTTCAGACCCAAGAGCTTTGCATTAGCCATAGGATTAAAACAAAATGTTTATGGTTCTTCTGGGATGACTTAAACATGTCTCAAACAAACAAGTTCCAAGGCAAAGTATGCTGATCATGAGCAAGATATTTCCTAGGTTTAAAAAAAAAAAAAAAGGCAGGCATCATGTAGGCATTTGTGTGGTAACACACAAGACAGCTTCACAAAGTAACAAGAGGTTGTGAGCAAAATTACATGCTGCAATTTTTGTTGTACACCTGTGTAAAAATGCAAATCTAAAACAATGTGTTTGAATAAAGTTGGATCACGTGACTCAACTTTAGTCCAACACATTGTTTTAGATTTGCATTTTTACACAGGTGTACAACAAAAGTTGCAGCATGTCTTTTGAGATTGCTGCATGAAATGAGCCTTAACAATGTTTTCAACATACACATACACAAATATCATGCTTTAAACTTAAGAAGAGAGTCTTTCAGAAACACATTCATGAACCTTTTAATTTGAAAAGTATATGTAGATTTCATGGGATGTATCTTTTAATGGAATTTGCTCATACATACATACATACATACATACATATCTCTCCTTCTAGATCATAGCAGATTTTTCTTTCAAATATCAGTGGTTTCACTGAATTGATTTGAAAGCACCCACTCAGAAGAAAAATATATTCAATCAGACTGGGCCTTGCAGTATTTATGTGAGCCATAACGTGAGCTTGCAATGGCCAGCATGAGCTCTTCCTTCCCTTTGGCTTCTCCGCCGGAACTTCAAGGCAGCCTGAAGAGCATTGCACCACACCTGCTTTCCAATGATAAAAGGAAGACGCCAAGGGCACCAGGGTGTGGAGGAGGATTTGTGTTGTGTGAGAGAGCAGAAAGGAAGACTTTGCAGAGAGGGAGTGGGGCAGCAGACATGAAGGTACAGGAGGAGCAAGCTTGGACTTCACTAACCCAGCAGCAGACGAGCTGAAAGGAGAAGCAGAGCCCAGCAGCTTCACCACTCCAGCAGCCACGCTGAGAAGGTCCAGCCAGCCAGCCGCTGGTAAAGCCTTCCTTTTCTCACCCCAGCACAGACCGAGGAACTGCCAAGCTGATGCTTCCAGTTTAGAACAGCAGCTGACAGCAAGAGAAGCCAATCTGAAGGTGGCTAAATGGTGGCCAAAGATTTTGGTATAAGCTCAAGCACAAAGGAGAACAGAATTGTTATAGACTTTTAGGAATAAGATATACACACAGGCATAGATGTTAGTATAGGATAATATAGCATAGGCTTAGTAATAAGTGGTAAGGTAGAAATTAGGAAAATAAATTTGTTAAATTATTTAATAAAAGCTTCCCTGGAAACACAGGGAAGATGAAAACGTCTGTTTGTTGCTGGTCTGTACCATTTCCCAAAACAGCCCCCTCACACCATATGGAGATCTAAACCCAGTCATCATAATTTCTTCTGAGTCAGGAATCTCTGCAGTCATTGGCATGATTAAATAGCCTGATAAAAGTCAGACTGAACGTAAACTGCAGGAGGACCTATAAAGAAGATCAACTAGAAAAACCTTTAACTGAATATCCTCCCAATTTACTGGTCTCCAGATACAACAATTCTGTTAGCCAGGCTCCATGGGAATTATGAGAAATGAAATCCTATACATCAGAAGGGCACCAGGTTGAGAAAGGGTTAACATTTGGGATGGAAATTTCTCCTCTCAAAAGGTAAGACAGTATATAACAATAAAAATAAGATTATTGCAGTGGTTTATGGTCCCAAGTTCAGCACTTGCTTGCTGGAACAAATTCATTTCTTTAAGCATATAATATGAGCTAATAATATGGGCTTTCCAGGAGAAGGGAAATAGGGCCTCTTCTGCTGTGCAGTTGAGACACTCCAAAATATATCCCAGGTGGGATAATTTACAGAAAAGTTTAGACTTAAGAGTCACAGCAGAGGGTAGATTTGCAGCAAAGTTTAAAGACAGTAAGTCACACAATGGGGAATAGAGGAGAAATGCCAGTTGAAATAGGTAAGGAAACTAGCAAGAGAACACCTAAGCTGCTTTGAGTGAATTTAAGTCTCTGGACTGGGTGAATAATATCCCAAGGCACTAAAGGAACTGTCTGTGATCTTTGAGAGCTCCTGGAGGACAGAGGATGGACCAGAAGACTGGAGAAGAGCTAAAGTTGTTCCCATCTTAAAAAAAAAAAAAAAATGGAAAAAGTGGAGCCAGTAAACTATAGACTGGTCAGTTTGACATCAGTACCTGAGAAAATGCTAGAAAATGTAATCAAACTATGAGTTTGCAAGGTCTTGGAAAGGAACAAGATGATTACTAGAAGCCAGCATTGGTTTGTTGAAATAAGATGTTCCCAACAAATTTTACTGCTTTTTTTTTTTTTTTTTAACAAAGTGGCTTGATTAGTAGACTAAGGGAATGTTGTGGATGGAGTTTACTTAGATTTCACTGAGATATTTGATAAAGTTGAGCTCCTTCTTGATAAAATGGAATAGTGTAGGATTCGCAGCTGATTGAGCAATCATACCCAGCATGTGGTCCTTAAATGGTTCTATGTCAACCCCAATAGGGAACCTCAGGGTTCTGTCTTGGGCTCAGGACTCTTCATCATTTTCATAAAAGATATAGGTGACAGGATAGAAGCAATGCATATTAAATCTGCAGATGTCCTAAAGCTGAGGAGTGGGGGAGAGGAACTACTAACACCTCAAAAGGCAGATTCAAGATTCAAAAGAATCTTGATAAACTTGAAGATGGGCCCTGTGCAATAACATGCAGTTCAATGGCAAGAAATGATGTATTTAAATAGGAAAAACCAGATCTACAGGTTCAAGTGGTACCTGGTTGGCAGTAGCACTTTGGAGAAAGATCTGGGTGTTCTGGGAGATCACAAATTAAGCATCAGCTATGAGTGTGCTGCAGCTCCCAAAACAGCCAATACAATCCTGGGCTGCATAAACAAAGGTATAATGCCAAGATCATGGGAAGTGATTGTTCCACTGTAGGATGCACTAGTCAGATAGCACCTGGAATACAATGTCCATTTTGGTTGCCACAATACAATAAGGATGCTGAAGAACTTGAAAGGGTACAGACAAAAGCAAAAAAGATGGTGAGGGCCTTGAAGAATAAATCTTATGAAGAATGGTTAAAAGAACAAGGATGTTTAGTCTAAAAGAAGAGAAGACTAAGGGGAGATATGATAGTCTCCCAATACTGTCACAGGGAAGAAAGTGTGGATTTATTCTCCACAGTGCCTGAGGGTAAGACAAGAATCAGTGGGTGGAAGCTTTACAATAGGAGATCTAAACTTGAAATCAGGAGAAATTTCCTGACTGTGAGACCTATTAAGGAGTGGAACAACCTGCCTCCTGAAATTGTGGAGGACTGGAGGTTTTCAGGCAAAAGTTAAACAGTAATTCTTCTGGGATAGCCTGAGAATTCCTCTCCTGGGTTGGATTAGCATATCTCTAAACTCTCTTCTAATCCTTGATTCTAACAGATGCCTGCCAGATAGATGGCACAGCAATTCTGGCAATGATGGGTGGGAATTCTAAAAGCTGTAGTCCTAGAACATCTGGAGGGTGTCAGATTGGGAAAGATTGTTTTATTCAAACGAGCAATCAAAACCACCCCAGGCAGCAGACGCTGGTCAAAAGTGTTAGGACTAAATGTGGAACCTCCCTCCCTCCCTCTCTCCTTCCCCATTCCCATTCCTATTTTCTTTCTTACTTATTCACTATTCTTTCTTATTTTCTTGGTTTCTTTTCTAGTATTTGTATTGTTTTTATCTTGTTGAAAATTTCTTCAATAAAATTATATTTAAAAAGTGTTAGGACTAAGTGCTACATATAAAAGAATTAGAAGAAAATATAGCTTGGGTTTTTTAAAAAAAAAATAAATCCTCAAAAGAGACTTCACTATGGAAGTGTCTCTATGAACACTTTCTACCAGAACATTTTCAGCTATGAAGGGAAAAGGAATCACCACATAGTAACAAAGCTTAGAACAAACTTGAGAGCAATACAATGTTCTGTTCACATCTCACAAAGTACCCAAAGACAGCTAAAATCACAAACAGAAAATTTTTTACAAAGATTTATAGAAGAGTAAGGAGGAAGATAATACCTAAAGAAATCAAAGTCTACTGCACAAATTTTCAGCAATAATTAGCCAGGATAAATAGAAACCAAGAAACAAGCACAAAGCTGTATCCGGAAGATAAAGAATATCACACAACGAGTAAAAGCAGCAGCCTACTGAAATATAACAGGGCAGCAAACTTTCAGTCATTGGGCACCAGAGCCCAATTTCACATAATGTCACAATTTGTTATTTTTTAAAAATTAAGATGCCTAAAATCCCATGATATTTTATTTGAAAATGCAGTGATTGTGGAAGACTTAATTATCTTAAAATATTCTGACCATTTTAAATGTATTGTTTGTTTTTGCAAATTAGTGGGTGCCATCAAGGTTCTCAGCTCGCAGAATATAAAAATAATATGTACAAGAGGCTTCAGTGGAAAATGTTAAATGTTCCACATATCTGTCTTCCAAATTCCCAAAGGAAAGTTGGTTTAATCTAATGAAAGAAGCTGAACAAACTAGTTAAACTACAATCCAACTCTAACTTCAAATCAGGTTCAACAAAAGTATTTGAAATGACTAAGATACGGAATTCTGGTACTGTACACATTATGGCATGGATGCTGAACAATAGGAACCAGCATTACATTTCCAAGGTTGCAAATAATCAACACAGTTAAGGGATTTGTCTGGGCAAGCTTTTCATCCTTCAGGGAAAATAAATATTTTGAGACACTCAAGTTAGCAAACATGCACACATTTTGAATTTAATATTTTTCATTCCCGAATTGTGGGAAAACTCAAAGTTAAGAATTAAAAAAAATGTAACTCTGTCATGGCAACTGAATGATAAAGAAATATAATCATTTGTATGTTTCCTTCCTCTGTTCCAGGGACCTCAAGTTCTGGGAAAAACCCCCCAAAAGCACTGTACAGCTACAACAACAATAATAGTCCATTGGAGTTGGGCAGCTGATAAATTTAAATGGATAATATTAATAATTTATTATTAAACTGATATGCCTGTAACATGTACCATGCATTCTAGTCTTCTACTAAGAAGCCTTCACCTTCACAATTAAGGATCCTGCAATGGATACTTTTTCAAGTTCATGACAAGCTTACTCATCTGTGACTTCAGATGTGATGATAAGCTGTTGCTAGGAACATTCTGGCTAGCAAGTTTAAGTTTTTCTCAAATTACAGCATTTCACAGGAACATCAAGGGTGACTGTCAGCCTGGAGGGTTACCCAGAAAGGACATTTTCAGACCTGCCATTAAACTATGGCAAGTGAACGATCTCATTTTGTCTATCATATATGAAGGTTCTTAATGCGAATAATTCAGAGAGAAAAAATACTGTAACGCATTTCCCAGCAAATCTAGAATTGAGACTTGTATCTTTTAAAAAGACTCATGCATTTTTATTTACAATACTTTTATCCTTGTTTTATGTAAAAGAAAATTCAAAGCAAGAGCTAAAGGTTTAAAAATCTATTCATGATTGCGGTAGAAAAACTCAGACTGTATGCCTTTGCTTTAAAAAGATTGAATTATGGCAAGGGGTTTTCAAACTTTGAGATTACAAGATATAAATATTTCATCTTGGGGAAGAAACAGAGCCAGTTTGGTGTAGTGGTTAAGGCACCAGGCTAGAAAGCAGGAGACCGGGAATTCTAATCCCGCCTCAGGCATGAAAGCCAGCTGGGAGACTTTGGGCCAGTCTCTCTCTCTCAGCCCAACCCACTTCTCAGGACTGTTGTTGTGGGGAAAATAGGAGGAGGAAGGAGGATGAGGTATGTTCGCTGCCTTGAGTTATTTATAAAATAAGAAAGGTAGGATAAAAAAATCTTATGTATGTATGTATGTATGTATGTATGTATGTATGTATGTATATATATGTATATGTGTGTGTGTGTGTGTGTGTGTGTGTGTATATA